ATCTCTGTATATGATCTTTATATACTTTATATATTCATGATCTCTGTGTGTATATAAAGTCTGCTGCAGTTTCCATGGTATGCATCCGATGAAGTGAGCTGTAGCTCACGAAAGCTCATGCTCAAATAAATTGGTTAGTCTCTAAGGTGCCACAAGTACTGACATAAGTGCTTCTCTAGGCCCACTTTAGTAACATCACTTCCCCGAGCGGCGTTGAATGTTGAGGATCCCCCTCTGCATGTAGCTGGACCCTTGATTAAAATTAGCCAAAACACTGTGGGCCCCAACAGTGCAAGGAGAAACGGGTGTCACAACAAAACAGTGTGTGTGGAAATGTTTGTGGAATACCATTGTGGGATGTAGTGTAGTAGTAGCCATGTCGGTCCCAGGATACTAGAGAGACAAGGTCAGGGAGGTGATATCTTTTATTGGACCAACTTCGGTCAGTGAGAGAGAGGCAAGCTTTCTCCATGTGGTTCAAAAGCTCATCTTTCTCACTAAGAGAAGTTGGTCCAATAAAAAATATTACCTCACCCATTTTGCCTGGGGAATTCAAGTCCTGTAAGGCCTGATGTTCTGTATGGGGCAAATGCATCCATGACAGTACTTAAATGCTGCTGCTGTTGATTATTAATTATTCATCATTATTATTAATATTACCCTAGCATAGATTTAACAGTCATTGCAGAATTGGAGAGTGTTCCATGGCTTACCTGGATATAGGGAAGATTGGTTAGACTTTTAAACAAAGAATAAAACCTGCACTCAGTGATTTCTCTGACTATGCAGGAATGGTTAAATCTCACACACTTCAGGCTGTCTCTCCCATCACCTCCCTCCTTTTCCTCCATCTCCATGTTAATTTTCACCCTTCCTTTCATAAAACCCCCAACACACACACACGCTCTGAGAGAAAACCCTCTGAATCATCTCTGCCCCTTCTTCCCCACTTCTTCCCTGTATCTGAGCCACCCTCCCCCCCCCCCCAGGGGTTTGCTCCCCTACCAGATGCCTGCTGGATCTGAGCAAGGTGTTGTGCCTTCTTGGTTGTTAATATGCTGGTGAGAGGAACGAGAACTATGTTATTAAGTGAGCAAATTCTGCAGGGCTGTGAGATCTGAGGCTATACAGGGTGAGTGTACAGTAAAAGCAGCAGCTCTGGAACTCACAGACACGTGGGAGTGAGGAGGGGCCACTTGTGCAGGGGAATCACTTTCCTTCCCTACTCCAGCATTTTCACTGAGTTCTCTCTCAAACAACTGACTCAGGAGCTGGTGTCAGCAGAGCCCATGCCTTCCCCAGGAGCCGGTTCCAGCCACTGCAGAAAGTCCTCCCTGGGCTGAGCACATAGGAGGTTTAATGAAGGTCTCTACCCAACACAGACCCCACTGGGGAGCAGCAGCTGCTCAGTCCTGGCTCCAGATCACCATGGAGGGAGCCGGAGAAATGATCTGGGATACTCAATCCTTGACTCCTGATCAGAGGAAAAAAGCAAGGTAAGAAAGAGAGAGCTAGAGAAATATCCCTTCTCCTTCGAGTAACCATGCATGCACACACTCCACTTTAGGTGCACGTGCACCCAATGCACTTGAATCTGAGACTTTTGCCAGCAGTAACACTGGGTGATATCTGCCCCTCATCCCTCGTGCCCAGCTGGGGCATAAAAGGCGCATGTCCACCACCTCCCTCTCAGTTCCTTCTCACCGTTCTTGGAGAGAATCGGAGCTCCCTATAGCTTTGCTAATGGTTAGCCAGGCTTACAGTCTTAATTCTGTAAATAGTTCTATAGTGGTGTTAGTTTAATTAGTTCTCAGTATTAGTATAGTTTAGCTATAGACTTTAGCGTAAGTCCTGTGGATTTATTATGAAACATTTCTCGGGTTTTAAACACATGCAGGACTCTGTTCCCTGTCACGAACAGGCAAACAAGCTGTTTGATCTACCTAGGGGAAGGGCATGTGAGGGATTTGCACTTCCTTCCCCTTAGAACAAAAAAGCACAGGGACTACCAATGGAAAGCCCACTTAACGAAGGAGGCCATGCTTCCTTCGTGTCCACTGTTGGAACCGGATCAGAGTATGCTGAATCCATGAGTAGTGGGCCCCCTGCTTGCCCAATCTCTATTTAGAAAAGCTGGACGAGCACAAGTCCATGGGGCCAGATGCGCTGCATCTGAGAGTGCTAAAGGAGTTGGTGGATGTGATTGCAGAGCCATTGGCCATTATCTTTGAAAACTCATGGCGATCGGGGGAGGCCCCGGATGACTGGAAAAAGGCTAATGTAGTGCCCATTTTTAAAAAAGGGAAGAAGGAGGATCCTGGGAACTACAGGCTAATCAGCCTCACCTCAGTCCCTGGAAAAATCATGGAGCATGTCCTCAAGGAATCAATTCTGAAGCACTTCAAGGAAAGGAAAGTGATCAGGAACAGTCAGCATGGATTCACCAAGGGAAAGTCATGCCTGACTAATCTAATTTCCTTCTATGATGAGATAACTGTCTCTGTGGATGAGGGGAAAGCAGTGAACGTGTTGATCCTTGACTTTAGCAAAGCTTTTGACATGGTCTCCCACAGTATTCTTGCCAGCAAGTTAAAGAAGTATGGGCTGGATGAATGGACTATAAGGTGAATAGAAAGCTGCCTAGATTGTCGGGCTCAACGGGTAGTGATCAATGGCTCCATATCTAGTTGGCAGCCGGTAACAAGCTGGTCCTGCTTTGAGCAGGGGGTTGGACTAGATGACCTCCTGAGGTCCCTTCCAACCCTGATATTCTATGATTCTATGAAATACAAATTGGGTGAGAAACAGCGTTCCTCCTCCTCTCCCCCAACCTCCTCTAAGCACTCGAATTAATTTCATTAATGAAAACACTATCAGGAATAAATCAGACATCAAAACTAATTAAGATGAAGAAGGTTAGTGGACAGCAGCAGCAGAGCATATGCCCGGAAGAGAAGATGTTCTAGTATGACTGGAAGATAGCTAATGTAATGCCAATATTTAAAAAGTGCTCTAGAGGTGATCCCGGCAATTACAGACCGGTAAGTCTAACGTCAGTACCGGGCAAATTAGTTGAAACAGTAGTAAAGAATAAAATTGTCAGACACATAGAAGAACATAAATTGTTGGGCAAAAGTCAACATGGTTTCTGTAAAGGGAAATCATGTCTTACTAATCTATTAGAGTTCTTTGAAGGGGTCAACAAACATGTGGACAAGGGGGATCCAGTGGACATAGTGTACTTAGATTTCCAGAAAGCCTTTGACAAGGTCCCTCTCCAAAGGCTCTTATGTAAATTAAGTTGTCATGGGATAAGAGGGAAGATCCTTTCATGGATTGAGAACTGGTTAAAAGACAGGGAACAAAGGGTAGGAATAAATGGTAAATTTTCAGAATGGAGAGGGGTAACTAGTGGTGTTCCCCAAGAGTCAGTCCTAGAATCAATCCTATTCAACTTATTCATAAATGATCTGGAGAAAGGGGTAAACAGTGAGGTGGCAAAGTTTGCAGATGATACTAAACGGCTCAAGATAGTTAAGACCAAAGCAGACTGTGAAGAACTTCAAAAAGATCTCATAAAACTAAGTGATTGGGCAACAAAATGTCAAATGAAATTTAATGCGGATAAATGTAAAGTAATGCACATTGGAAAAAATAACCCCAACTATACATACAATATGATGGGGGCTAATGTAGCTACAACTAATCAGGAGAAAGATCTTGGAGTCATTGTGGATAGTTCTCTGAAGACCGTCCACGCACTGTGCAGCGGCAGTCAAAAAAGCAAATGGGATCTTAGGAATCATTAAAAAAGGGATAGAGAATAAGACGGAGAATATCTTATTGCCCTTATATAAATCTATGGTATGCCCACATCTTGAATACTGGGTACAGATGTAGTCCCCTTATCTCAAAAAAGATATACTGGCATTAGAAAAGGTTCAGAAAAAGGACACTAAAATGTTTAGGGGTTTGGAATGGGTCCCATATGAGGAGAGATTAAAGAGGCTAGGACTTTTCAGCTTGGAAAAGAGGAGACTAAGGGGGGATATGATAGAGGTATATAAAACCATGAGTGGTGTGAAGAAAGTGAATAAGGAAAAGTTATATCCTTGTTCCCATAATATAAGAACTAGGGGCCACCAAATGAAATTAATGGGCAGCAGGTTTAAAACAAATAAAAGTAAGTTTTTCTTCACACAGCGCACAATCAACCTGTGGAACTCCTTGCCTGAGGAGGTTGTGAAGGCTAGGACTATAACAGGGTTTAAAAGAGAACTAGATAAATTCATGGAGTTTAAGTCCATCAATGGCTATTAGCCAGGATGGGTAAGGAATGGTGTCCCTAGCCTCTATTTGTCAGAGGGTGGAAATGGATGGCAGGAGAGAGATCACTTGATCATTACCTGTTAGGTTCACTCCCTCTGGGGCACCTGGCATTGGCAACTGTCGATAGACAGGATACTGGGCTGAATGGACCTTTGGCAGAACAAGGAGTAATGGTCTCAAGTTGCAGTGGGGGAGGTTTAAGTTGGACGTTAGGAAAAACTTTTTCACTAGGAGGGTGGTGAAGCACTGGAATGGGTTACCTAGGGAGGTGGTGGAATCTCCTTCCTTTGAGGTTTTCAAGGTCATGCTTGACAAAGTCCTGGCTGGGATGATTTAGTTGGGGATTGGTCCTGCTTTGAGCAGGGGGTTGGACTAGATGACCTCCTGAGGTCCCTTCCAACCTTGATATCCTATGATTCTATGAGTATGGCCATTCTTATGTAATGTTCTTCTTGAGAAGTAATAATCAAATCCCATTGCAGCATGGGAAACTTATCTTAGCCTCTTGCTGTGCTCTGTTCCAGGAAATAATTTCATTGTCTGCTTTAATAAGGCTGTTGTGTGCCTCATGAGAGGGCCACTCCAGCCTTGCCAGGCTTTCTGAGATCTGTGGCAAATGGCAGTGGTTTTATTCCTTTTGCCTAGCCCTCATTGGCACAAGGCTCTCTCACGTGTGGATTCTCTGATGCCGAATAAAGGCTGAGTTGTCACTGAAGCTTTTCCCACACTCGGGGCACTTATACGGTTTCTCTCCCGTGTGGATTCGCTGATGTTTAATAAAGGTTGATCGATCAGTGAAGCTTTTCCCACAGTCATTGCATTTATAGGGCCGCTCTCCCGTGTGGATTCTTTGGTGGATAATGAGGTCTGAGCTCCGACCAAAGCTTTTCCTGCAATCGGGGCATTTGTAGGGCTTCTCTCCTGTGTGGATTCTCCGGTGTTTAGTGAGCGTTGAGCTGTCACAGAAGCTTTTCCCGCATTCGGGGCATTTATAGGGCTTCTGTCCTGTGTGGGTTCTCTGATGTTTAATAAGATGCGAGCTGTCACTGAAGCCTTTCCCACAGTCATTGCAATTGTAGGGTTTCTCGCTGGTGTGGATTCTCTGATGTTGCATAAGGTGCGAGCTCTGAATGAAGCTTTTCCCACAGTCGGTACATTTATAACGTTTCTCTCCTGTGTGGAGTCTCCAATGTTTAGTAAAGGATGAGTTCGACCTGTATATTTTTCCACAGATGTGGCACGTGTGAGGTTTTGCTCCCATATTGATTCTCTGCTGAATTGTGGTATCAATGGATTCCGTGAAATCTCCCCCAACAGGAGTGGATTTACCTTTCATTTTCCTTGGCTGGTTTCTCTGCTGTCTCTCTGGCCTGCTCTGACTCTCACAGGTGTCTCTCCTCCCAGATCTCTGGGAAATGTTCCTGTTCGATAGTCCTGATACCGTCCCATGTGGTTCTACCTGCTCAGGACCTTCCTGCTGAGGAGTCTCCTCCTGGCTCTCGCTCACCGTCCCATCACCTGCTGGGACAGAGAGAATCCAGACAGGAGTCACTCCCTGTGCCGGGGGACAGGGAACCTCAGAAAGGGGAACAGGAAAGTGGGAAACCAAAGTTACCTGGGGGGAGGGATAGCTCAGTGGTTTGAGCATTGGCCTGCTAAACCCAGGATTGTGAGTTCAATCCTTGAGGGGGCCATTTAGGGATCTGGGGCAAAAATTGGGGATTGGTCCTGCTTTGAGCAGGGGGTTGGACTAGATGACCTCCTAACCTCCCTTCCAACCCTGGTAGAAATATCAGGAGCTGAATCCCCAAACCCTTCCCCAGAGGAAAGAGAAAAGGAGGCGAGTTCTGTCTCCACATCCCATCCAAACACTCAGGGGGAAAGAGCTACAGGCAGGTGTCCATCAGGGTGGGTGGGCAGCAATAAGTGACATCTGCCAAGAGGATATGACACCTGCTGGGGGACATCCTGTCTCGGGCAAGATGAGCTAGAAGCTGGGGAGCTCACAAGCCCTTTGTGGGAATCCCAGCTGTTCCTTTCACTCAAAGATAGTATTGGAGTCCGTTTCACCAAATCCTCACCTGTGTCAGTGCCGCTCAGGCTGCCCCTTTCCTCAGAGCCTTGGAGAACTGGGACCCATGCTTGCTCCATCAGGAAGATCACATCAGGTTTGGGAATGGAAAATCCTGTGCTGGGGGGAAAATGGTGAAAATAAGTCTCACTGTTAGGGAATACTTGCTACAAAAATATTTCATGTTTTTAAACCCAGACCATTTCTAAATCACAGTTTCTGGACACTCTCCTACTGTGGAAACTGAACTTTTAACAGCTCTGTTGGGAAAATAATACAGCCAAACATTCATCACTGAAGAATTATACACAGCAACACACTATTATACTAAAGTGAGATATTTTAAATTCAGTTGGTCCAGATAACTTGCACCAAGTTTAACATTTTCAGAAGCACCTACAGCTAAAGTCTACACTAGGAGCGCTTTACCAACATAGGAATGCTGGTCTGCTAGACCAATGATTCTCTACCTTTCCAGAGTACTGTATCCCTTTCAGGAGTCTGATTTGTCTTGTATACCCCCAAGTTTCACTTCACTTAAATTGATCTTTTCCGTCAAGTGTTTGGATTTAAATGGATATTAGAGCAATAAACCAATACAAATAGGTTTGAAGTGTGTGAATAAAAATTACCTCCCCTCTTGGACAAGAACATAGGGCCACATTTTTTAAGATATGTAGGTGCCGAGTGAGATTTTCAAAACCCTAAGAAAGGGAAATCATTATTCATCATAATAATAATGCCTAGCTTTTGTCTAGCACTTTTCATCAGTAGATGTCAAAGTACTTTTTAAAAGGAAGGCAGGGTCATTATCCCGATTTTACAGATGAGGAAACTGAGGCACAGAGCAGTGAAGTGACTTGTCCAAGGTTACCTGGCAGGCAAGTGGCAGAGGTCGGAGCAGAACCCAAGAGCATTAGTTCACTAATTTCAATGCTAGGTTTTTCTCAGGTTTACTTTTACCTTGGACAGTACTTCTCAAATCAGGATAGTTATTAATCAACAAGTTTATTAATTCACCAAGACTCTCATAGGAATGTAGCCAACTGTTTTATACATTAAGCTTGGATATCAGATATTCCAGGCATGTCCTGAATGCAAAATACTGCACGCGGGGTCACATGCCCTCTAGATTTGCTGTTTGGCTTCTACTGAACATGCTCACATGGACTGAGCATGCTCAGTAACAGTGCTGAAGTCAGCTGCCCTCACTCTGCCTCCACACTATCCGCAGGCAGGGGCTGTCTCTGGGGCTTGTCTTCTTGGAGTGTTGGGGGTGATAGTCTGCGCTACCTCGATTTAGTGCAGATGGAAAAGGCCTGTGCACCTATGGTGCAAACCCATAAAACATTCTAACTGCCTATTTGGTGCAAATTCTGGAATCCTCTTTCAAAGTGTACTAAGTTGGATGTGAATTGAATTAGTGCAGGCTATTGTTTGTGTGCATGCCATACTGCTGTGCGCTACTTTGGAAGCCCCTCCAGATGCATGGAGGCCAAGCACTTATACCATAGAACAATACAAATCTCCAAGATCTCTGATTACATTATCTCATATCACTTATCTATTCTTCAGAATTTCTAATACGTTTATCACACTGTAATTCTCCATGGAGTAAGGATGCCTTTTTTCTTAAGGCACTTTTAAGGATGTGATCCCTGCTATTTATAGTGTTTGGCTTGAAAGGGACTAGTTTAAAAGTGAGGCACTGTTAAAAAAAAAAGGCAAATGTAATTCTGGGATAGGTCAGGGAAGCTAATGATCCATCCAGCAGAGCAAATTCAGTGATGAATCCTGGTCACGTGCCACCTGAGGCACTTTGCACATACATTATGAAGAAACAGGAGTGTTGTATATAAGACACAGGAGGTAACTGTTCCACTCTACTCAACACTGGAAAAGCCTCAGAAGGAGTACTGTGTCCAGTTTTGAGCACCACGCTGTAAGAACAACGTGAACAAACTGGAGAGGAACACAAATGATAGAGTTTAGAAAACCTGATCTCTGAATGAAGATTGAAAGAACCGGGCATGTTTCGTCTAGAGAAGAGAAGGCTGAGGAGGGGACATGATAACAGCTTTCAAATATTTAAAAGGCTGTTATAAAGAGGACAATGATCAATATCCAGCAAGGGTAGGATAAGAAAGAATCAGCTTAGTCTGCAGTGATGGAGATTGAGGTTAAATATTATAAAAACCTTTCTAACTATGAGGCGAGTTAAGCACTGGAACAGGCTACCTAGGGAGCCTGTGGAATCTCCATCATTGGAGGGTTTTAAGAACAGGTTAGACAAACACCTGTCAGGGATGGTCTAGGGTATACCTAATCCTGCCTCAGCCTAGGTGGGCTGGACTAGTTGACCTAATGAGATCCTTTCTAGCCCTGCATTTCTATGACTCTGTGAAAATATCAAAAGCAGTTACTTAAAGTTATTGTTTGAGGCTCTCTGAGGCCAATTTACTTGGACTCACAAAGAAGAAACACGCATATAGCATTATTTAGTTAAAATCTAAAATATGGTTCCTTGAGGTCTCACCAAAAAGGCTGGAGACTCAATTTAGGGCTTGGCTACACTTGCGAGTTACAGCGCAATAAAGGAGCCCCAGGCACACTAGCTCACTCCCTGTCCACACTGGCAAGGCATGTAGAGCGCTCTGACTCCGCAGCTACAGCGCTGCTGGTACTCCACCTCGGCGAGTGGAATAACGTTTGCTGCGCCCCCGCTGGAGCACCGCGGCGCCAGTGTGGACGAGGTGTTGCATTACTGCGCTCTGATCAGCCTCCGGAAACATCCCATAATCCCCTTAAGTCAAGTGGCCACTCTTGTCATTGTTTTTGAATCGCTGCAGGAATGTGGATATGCCCTTTGAAAGCTCTGTTTCTGACAGCCGGCTGCTTATCTGCTCTGAGACAAAGCAAGCCATTAGTGTGGAATGCTGTGTGTGAGATAGAGAGGTGGGGGGGGGAAGGGGGAGAAAGGGGGTCTGCTGCTGTCTGAACTTACAAGACAGCATGCTGACATGCTCTCTCCCCCCACATACACACAACACACTCCCTGTCACACCCCACCCCACCCCACCCCCCATTTGAAAAGCACGTTGCGATCACTTGCATGCTGGGATAGCTGCCCACAATGCACCGCTCCCAATTCCACTGCAAGGGCCACAAATGTGGCCATGTCAGTGCGCTTGAAACTGTCAGTGTGGACAGACTGCAGCTCTTTCCCTACTGCGCTCTCCGAAGGCTGGTTTAACTCAAAGCACTCTACATCTGCAAGTGTAGCCATGCCCTAAGTAACTTTCAGTTGTTTATATTAAGAACACAGAGAGAAATTTAGTCTCTGAAATGAACTCTCAGCACTTCTTCTTAGTCCTGGAGGAGGGGACAGCCTACTTGTTGTGGCTGGTCTAAGTGACTGGTAGCACTTCTAAGTTCTGCAATTTCTTTGGTGGGTTTGGCAATCTCTTCTTGTTTCTGTATCCCTGAAGGAGGGGAGAGGCTGGTCTCATTTGATTTCATCTGCTATCCCTCTGGGGAATGTTGTAAACCTACTAGTTTGTCCAGTTCTCCACAGAATCTTTTACAAAAATTATTGTGGACTATAAGTCCAAAATTTCTACCATATGAAAAGAGGAGAAAAAAATATAAATGAATAAAGTAACTATTTGGTCCTTTTTTATTCATAAGAAAGAAGAAAAATAGCCATGAAACCTCCCCAATCAAGACAATTTTATAATGAACTGTTATGTTTGGAGAATGAACAAAATAAGTATGCCGCTATTTTGACCAAAAACAAATGGGTCTTTTAAAGTGGACACATACCAGGGGACAGGTAGAGGCAGTGCAGGACAGATAATTAAGGCTTCATTTTAGTCACAGGTATTTTTAGTAAAAGTCACAGACAGGTCATGGGCAGTAAACAAAAATTCATGGCCCATGATCTGTCCATGACTTTTACTAAAAATACCAGTGACTAAAACTTGGGGAGGGAAGGGGGGGCACTATGGGTGCTGGGGGAGGGTGGCCCAGGTGCTGCAGGGCAGCACGGGCAGTGGCGCATGGCCTGGGACCACTGCTGGTGCTAGGGGGCATGGGTGGCACTGTGTGGCCCGGGACCCGC